AGCTCGTTTTTAAAGCCTGAAAAGAACAGCAGGCACCCGGCCAGCTTTCCCTTGGAAATGGACTTACTGAGGGCAAGCGTGCCACTGCTGGGGAGGGCGGGGGGGCTTCTGGCAGCTGCCCCCACACCCCTGCAAAGCAGCGCACCCCAGGCTGGGAATGCTCCGTCACCAGGAGGCACAGCAATAAACTTGCAACCGGAGGGAAAAAGCACCTACAGTTCCTACATTCCCGATGGCTGCGCAAGCAACGGTTGGTTAGAAAATTTAAAACCTCGTGGTTTTCTCCCCTTGCCGTGTTTAACAGTCTCAGGCGACGGGGTTTGCTCACACTCAGACTCAGGGTGGGCGCTGGGATTTTAAGCCCGTTGGGCGGCGTACAATCTAAAGCAGTTACTTCATTTATTCTGCGTTACCTTAAGGCTTTAGCACTGTTGGCCCATTTTTTTCCATCCCATCCCTCATTTGCCAATGACAGCAGACAGAATCATTAAATTTGCAATATGCAAGGATGGCTTCCAGCGGCAGCACTTAGCAGCTCTGTCTTTGCCCATATGCCCAAAGACTTGTTCAAAAACAGAATTTTTGAGTAATTTATGACTGTTCTTACCGTGATACAGATGGCTTATTGATCCGTTTAATCTAAGTACCTGTGGTTTTGCAGAATAAAATACTACTCTTTTTTTTGTGTGCTGCTCATTTATGTACTCTTTTTCTAGAATGAGAATGTCTGCCTATTACCTTAATTGACTGATTTTTTAACAAGTTTCCATCTAGCTAGAACAAAACTAATTTTCAGAAAGCTTGATCAGACTGAACTTTGCTCATCCTCCTCATCTCAGGACATCTACTGCACATGGCCCACTCTTCCCTCTCTCACCTAAGGGTGACCTTGAAGGCCACCCAGAAGCCCATCTCTTATGACATTCAACTATTTGAAGTTCAGGCAATGGAAACCACCAACACTTGCATGAGGTACTTTCTACTCTGCTCCAAGCAAAAGTCACATTATATAGATATAAGTTGCCAGCCTCATTATGTCAGAGAATTTTTTCCTCCTACCACCAGAGCCAGTAGAGATGCTGTTGCTGCTGAAGGAGAGCAAAGTCCACCGGAGACAGCCATATGTCCTTAAATCTCCACCATTTTTTTTTCTCATTAAAATGAATCAAAGCGAACCCAAACCTTTGCTGTTCCACGAAGGAGTGGCTGGAATGCATTCCCCAAAAAGCTCTTTCTCCGTAATGCAGAGCACAGAATAACCAACCACGAACGGAATCAAACCACATTAGAAACTAAAAGAAGAAACGAAGACTGTGAGTGCTTTCTTAAGAATAATCTCTCTTTCACCTATAAAGCATCGGGACTGGTGCATCAGGACGGTCAGGCACCGGCAGCCAGAGGAAATCACAAGTTACACGGGAATGTGCTCCGATAAGCAAACTGCTCGAGGTCCTACCCAGAGCCCTTCGGACCTGCCTCGGAGCTTTTGGTCTGCGAGTAACTGTCATGGTTGGACTAGATGATCTTCAAGGTCTTTTCCAACCCGGATGATTCCGTGGCTCTGTAACGCGTGCCATGGGTACCGCAGAGTCGTCGTGGCCTTGGCAGCACTCAACACCTCTTGGGAGGACTTCTGGGTGCAGCGTTTATTTCATACCACGTCCTCGTGACTTGTGTTCCTTTGCTATCAAGTCTTGTTCCGGCCAGACAATGGGAGGTCGCTCCCCGCAGGTCCCTGCATTCCCTAAATTCTCTAGGACCTGGAAAATACGGGTGCGCAGGATGAGGCCGTGCTGCGGGGTGCCCAGGGAGAGGTGCCTGGACGGGACGTGGGTGCCCACGGACACCCTGGGGGCGTTGGGAGCCCCGTGGTGACCCAGGCTTGGGGGTACACCAGCTTTTTTCCTGAAGTCAGAGCCCACAGGCTGTGCTCAGGGTAACAGGCTTCACAGACAGGAGAGAAGACATTTTCAATCATTTCTTTTAGAAAACAGCAACAACATCACGCTGCTAGCATTAAAAAAGCAGCCAAACCTACCATTTCCCACTCGATGAGAGCATTATTCTGCAGCTGCTATATATAATAAACTGGTGCTGTTCCTACTTTAATCTAACTTCTCCTGCATCTGCACTTGCTCTGCTTCATTTTTTATATTCCAGTACATGATTTCTAGCCTTGTACAGCTCCCTGGCTAGTTCTTAGGCGAGGCTGTGGGAGCACCACTGACCCCCTCGGTCCCTCTTTCGGGGCTGTGAGGAACATGAACCCTCAAGGGCACGGAGAGCTGCACAGGGCCAAAAAGAAAATGGTTTTACACGCCCTGCCCATCCTTTTGTGGAGCAGCCAGCCTGTCTGGCTTGTGATGTCACCCTTCTTCAGGATCTTAATTTCACCTCTCCAGTGAGACCAGTACATTTCCCGGTTAGTAGCACTGGGCTTCCTGTAGAGCACTCAAGGAAGATCGTTGTCAGTAGGTCCCGAGTGGACCAGACTTTCCTTGGTTTGTTCATGATTTTTACCAGCATCAGGATAGAATCACACCTGGAGCCATTACATCACTAAAAGACACTTTCAGAAAAGCTTTATCTGCTCTCAAGAGTGATTAACTTTCCTTTAGAATCATATGTCTTAAAAATAGCAATATTAGCGTCATCCTTGGCACCGACTAAAGTGAGAACAAAACCTCATGGAAAGAGAGAAACGCAACAACGGGGAAAGAGCACTTCTGAGACACATTGCAAGTTTTCTTTCTTTAGCAAAACCTTGATCAACTCACCTGAGCGGGTACCTGGCAGTTCCTTACAGACACATGCTTAAACGTTGCTATTTCAGCATCAAAGGCCGAACAAGTAAGGAACATCATCCACAGTTTCTACATACAAAGTCAGACTAATTTACTTTTCCTTAATTAATCATCTTCATTTCCTCCCTCTTTAGCCTTACCCAATGAGGTGTAAATTGCAGGGGCAGATGCATTTTCTGGGCTGAATTCCAAACTAAATGTTCTTCAAAAAAGTGAGGAGGCACTTAGCATAGCATTTTAGTGTTTCACTGTCATTGGGGACATTAAAATCACCTCATTCTAAAGGCTTCGGTGTCATTATTTTGCCCATATTCTTTCTAGTCCAATTATGGCAGATTTTGTACCCCGAGAGCAAAGACCTGAGCTCAGCAAAGAACAAACACGTTTCCGCCAAAGCGTTACCGGTTCAAGAAAAGGAACCGAGGTGGCCTGGTCCAGCCCTGGGCTTCTGCTACAAACCTCCCGGAGGTGGCGTACCCTGGGGTCCCTTCATGCCCCAAGCTTCACCACCTCCGGGACGTGCATGAAGGTCCAGTTATTTGTGGATTCCTCCACGTGCAACGAGGAGCACGGTTTGGTGCTCAGATAGACACCAAACTTGATTCTTAAATATCACCACTCTCATTTTGAATTTTTTTTTTTTTTTTTTTTTTTTTTTTTGGTATCTGCCAGATTATTTCAGTGATTACTGTACTATCAAACCATTCATGAATTACCAGCGTGGTAAGTGAAAGAAAACGCTAGGTAGGGCTTTTCATTTAGATTTTGATAACACACAGTTTGTTTTATCCCTGACATCACAACAAAAGTTGGTTTGGATCTTTTCATTCTCCGTGTGCCAGCATGCTCTCCTGCACCGCGGGGATAACTCACAGCGGGGTTTTTTTCATTCCCCGAATGCAAACAAGCCAGAGCCCTTGTTTACAGAACTGAACTATGGGCAAGCACACTCTTAATTTCTGAGGCTACGTTTGCAGCCATGATCTCTGAGCATGCAAATTAGGACTCGCACATTTTCCCACATCATTACTATGGCAGCGTTGAAGCCTACAAACCCCAGGTAAAAAAAAAAAAAAAATCAGTACATGACTGAAAAAGTAGTCCCAAAGGGAGCCTTTCTTGGTGCAGAACAGTTTCATCACAGACACTGATTTCTAATTAACAAACCTTGCACTGAAGAAAGATCATATATTTTCATTAATTGCAAAAAAACATAGTTACTGTAAAAGGCATAGAGTCAGGAAAACATTTGGAGTCTGAGGATTTAAGAGAGACCCATCTCGCTGGAAACACCGTTATATTCAGCACTACCAAAATCAATACCATATATTTTAATTAAACATGTATTAATCCACCTACAAAGGACTGGAGCTACCCAGTCAATTATCTGATTGTAAATATAGCTTTTGTTAATATAGTAAAAATAAACAATTTCTTTTCCAACCATAACTCTGATGATGAAACCTGTTACAAGCACAGCTTTTTAGTAGCTACCATACTGTAATTATTCATCAAACTGACAGAATAAAATTCCTTTTTATCCATCTTATATTTCATCTAAAAACATTGAGGCGATTTGCAAGCAACAGCCTCACACACAGTCTCAAGACGTTGCTGATAATATTGGCAATAAATAAATACTGGCAATTCTGGCTGGAGGTGAAGACAGTGTCTTCTGCTTGTGCTATACAGTTACCCACTCCCCCTGTTTACGAGGAGGGGGGGGTGTGTGTGTTAATATTAACTAATTCATCTTTTAAATGTATTGCCCAGCCTTAGAAATTATATGGGCAAGATCCCCAAACTCTACAATATTTTAGTTTTACAAAGCTCTCTCTAACGGAGAGGTTTTCTCCCTCTGAGTTTTCAGGGTTATAGGGCTATAGCTGCATGGGGGGGTGTCACAGCGGAGGAGCGAGGGGTGGTGTTTACCTGCACCTGGTTTGGGTGGCTCCTAACTGAGGAAAATAAATCCTCTGGTGGAGATCTTAGTTCTGTCGTTAGGCAGCAGAGCTGGGCTTTTCCTTTGGGTCGAGTCAATAGTCTGGCTTTGTCTCCTCGCTCTACTGAAAATCAGCAATGCGATAAAAAATATAGTTGTAATGCGCTGCCTGAGAAACTCTGAGAATAAACACGCTGGTGGCTATGAAAGGGTCACAGAGGATCCTCAGGGGCTCCTAACGAGAACACCTTGCTCTGGGTGTGCCGCGGCCGCACGGCAACGACGGCTCGCTCTTCTGCCTTGCACGGGCCACCAAGGCATCAACCATCTGCTGAGCGGGGGGAGCTGAGCCCGCTTCGGCTAGGAGCGGCTCTCGGTTCCCATCACTCTGGCACCTGAAGGAATGAAGAGCCAAGAGGTTTTGCAGGGAATAGGTGTGAGGGCTGATGCCGTAAGAAAACAGCAAGCTAAGTCTTTCAGCATCAATCATCTGCGGTGTTTGTATCACGGGCCTTTAGACTAACTCTCCTGTTATAAAATAATCCGTCTCAGTAATTGTAAAATCCATTAAAAACAAGCAGAAGCTGCCACTTAACACAAATGCTATTTTTATTTACATCATATTATAAAGTCAATTTTCATTTGCATTCACTTGAATTTTGCTGGTATCGGCTTAGATGGTCTGCAGACAGGCAACGTGCATTTCGTGGGCATACGTTGTAATCGCTGCCATTTGTATTCAGGAAAATGTTGATGAACTTTAAACATTTTGCCGTAAGGAGGCTGGAACAGACACTCGGCGAGCGCTTGGGTTTTCTTTGTTCGTGTGTATGATCCACGTTTGGCAGCCTCACCCCCGCTGTGCAAGTACCAGAGAAGCATTATTGGATGGCGTCTTCCTTTTGCTAAAACGGAGTTACGTGTTTTCCCGAAATATCTGCAGGTTTTCTAAGCAGCCTTGTATGACAGCACTTCTGTGATTTACCAGCTTCTAAACAAACTTTTACTATTATTCAACATATATACAACTGACATTGTAGCATGTGGGCTTGCTATGAGAATTAATCTGTATTTCCACAAGCTTTATGTGTTTTAAGGGGGATGTGACACCACAGTGATGAGTTTTCCTCGCCGTTACTGCGAGGTGGCTACGGTAGCCGTGAATGGGGTTCACTTAAATTGGTGCCAAAAAACTCCTAAAGACACCCTGAGTTACACCACGCGTATATCGCAGAGGAAAATAATATAAAACTATTATCAGAAATGCTATAGTAAGGTTTTAATATTCTAGTGGGTATCCAGAAATATTTCTATAAGAACAGTTTGCAATGTCAGTCCTAAAACAAGCACAAAAATTCCGTGAGAACACCCAGAAAAGATGTTTGATAACTCGTAGAGCTCTATGTTTCTTAGCAGCTTCTTGTCAGATTACCCAGGCTGGCACTAGTCTAGAGAGTAGGATCTCCTTTAGTTTAATGGCTTTTACAGGCCTAAAGATTTACAGAGCGTCATCTCTTGAATTTATCACTCTGCAGAACTGAATATTTATTTTCTACAATTTAAACTAAGGAAAAATAAATATCATATTTGAACAAAAGCAGAGGGTGTTTTTCTGTTTAAACATTTCTAACCCATTTTCAAATGCAACCGCTCACCTCGGCACAATTCTTCATTTGGCAGAGAAATGAGGGTTTGGAGTCGTGGTGGAAGCGTCCCTGGGCTCGCAGCCCGGCGTGGTTTGTTCTGTGCGTTGAGGTTGCCGGGTTGGCCTCGGGGTTTCCTCAGCCTGAAATTCTTATTTGGATGGGGAGCCATGTGGGACACAGGGTGAGGGCGTTGCTGCTCAGCACACGGGCCTCGGGAAAAACCGTGTGTGTGTGTGTGTGTGCGCGCGCACACGTGAGGATGCGCCCATACCTGCAGGGAACATCTGCTCATTGGGGCCAGGCTGGCGCAGGAACCTGCCTCTCCTCGGGGAAGCTCTCCAGGGCCCGTCGCATCCCGCTGCACCACGGCTGGGCTGGTTTGATGCCGTAACGAGTTCAACTCGAGGATCTGGGGTTTCCACTGCACTTTAATACCCGGGGCTGCAGATAATAATAATAATAATAATAATAATAATAAACTAATAATAATAATTCATAATAATCAATGTCAAGCGGAAAGCAATGTTCTGGAGAGCTGTGCTTCTGAAAATATTATGAAGCTTGACTCTAAAACTAGTCCCCACACAAAATTACGCTGCTGATTTGCAGCTGTGCGCGTAACATCCACACCCTCACGTGTCTGTAAGGAAACGTTAACATCTCCCTACTACAGATATTACCAATATCAATCAGTGCAGCCAGAAGTGGGCGGATATAAAATTAAAGCCACCCAGATTCTTGAGCTCAGTCGTTATGAGGCACATAAAGAAGCCAGGGAAGAGTTCTCTCTCCATCACATAACTCAGGCCGCGGATCACGCACTTCTCCGTGGCCACGCTTCCAGGGGAAAGGGCGGAGGAGCAGCGGCCGGGTGGGGGCTTTACCTCAGCACTCACACGCTCGTGAACAGATTTGCCACCGGCTCTTCTCGATCCCAGGTCTGCAGCTGGTGGAATTTGATGTTTCCAGCCATAAGCACAGTATATATTTTTGTAGTTCAATTTTTTAAAACAAACAAACGAGATATATCTACACACGTCTCGCACCTGAATGTGTCCAGACCTGGCAGGTTCCGGGATGAAAGCGATCACCCACCTGCTCGGGCTTCGCAGCAGGAGCTGGAGGAGAAGTAAGTGGGCACGGCCGGGGGGATCGGTGGTTTCCAGCCTGCCAGCGCTTCGCGCTGCTGCCGTGGAACACAAAGTAGCGAGCAGGGAGGAGTCCTCCGCTGCCCCAGCCTGCTGGAAGACCTTTCCCACTCCACCACTTTGAAAGCGGTTTTCACATCACTGAGTATATTCTCAGAATCCGTGTTTAAGAATGAGCGTTTCTTAAACCCGCACGCAGATATATTTTATCCTGTCACACATACAGCAAACAGGCAGATACACTGGGGGCAACACCCTTAAAAATCATTTTGAAAGCAGAGTTATGCAGATACTTCCCCAGTTTTGAAAAGCGAGTCTTGCGGTGCTGAGCACGAGGCCCTGGGGAAGAACCCAGGGGTTCGGAGGGACGGGGACCCCCTGACTCCTCTGGAGAGTCAGTCTGAGCCCCAAGGTGCCGGGGTTGCACAGCTCATCCCCGGAGACAGCTTTTCCCAGGTAACCGACCCAGATCAAAACAGCTGAAATACTTTGGAGGGTGAGGAAAGCGAGGGGGAAGATCAGAAATGGAATGGGAACCAAATAGAAAAGGCATTCACCCCTACCAAAGTAAACCAAGCAAATACAACTACATTTTACATCAGTAAGTAAGAATAAGAGTAGGTGGACAGAGTGCAGAGTCGCAGGCTGCCAGGCATTGTACTTAATCCCTCGCGTGCCCCTCTCCACACCTGGACCCTTTCTCAGTCTGCTAAAGAGCTAATTTTGTTGTCACTTTTTTGTTTCAGGAAGAGGGTTTGCCTTGCCCCTCGTTCCGTTCGCCATGCCTCGTACATCGGCTTTTCCGGAACTCCGTCGGGCTGAGGGTGTTTCCTGGGACGACTCTTCTGCCAGCGTTAGTTCCCGGTGACCCCCCACAGCCGCAGCTTCCAGCGCTCCAGGAAGGCACCGGCTGAGCATCCCCCCTCGGCCCCGCAGCTGCCCCACCCCGGGCCAAAACCGCCTCTCACCCAGCCTCCGTCAGAGACATCTGTACCAGACAGCTGCAGGATTTAAACGTAATTCCCTCAGCACGCGCCATGGTGCGTTTGCTGTGAAGGTATTGATTAACTGTATCCAAACCACACCAAATGACACCGAAATCTTCAACAGCTTTGCTACCAGCCCAAACCAAAAATAATCTACGACCCCTATCAAATCATCCACACGCCTGTTCTTAGCGTGCATTACAGACTTTAGGCTGTTAGAGTTGCCCTTTTTTTTTTTTTTTTTTTTTTTTTTTTTTTTTTTTCTTTTTTAAATAAGTGCTGGTTTAATGTTATTTTGTGATACCGAATTAGAGGTGCTGAAATACGTTTCATTTTCTGAACTGCAGCATTACTAAGGCATGTGGTTTCTTTGCAAAACGTGCACTTCCCGAGGCTTTGATTTCTCCTGGTGCATGCAGAACACGGAGCTGTGCCAGCTGACACACACAGAGAAAAGTGACACCCACATCTCGCGTCCCGTGGCAACGCGACCACGGAGGTCTCCAGCTCCTCACTCGTGCTCCGCAGGGGCTGTGCCCCCACCACGGGCACAGGGCAGGACACAATCACAAGATGGGCATTGCTGTATCTCCCAGCAATATTCCAAACTTTCTTTTCCCTGAAACCTGAAATTTTTCACTCTGTTCTTGTTGTTTCTGTCGCGAGCACTCTCATACGTACGAGAATTTCAGTCCCTGCTCACTCAGGGGTGACGTGCGGCACCGAGAGCTGCGTAAGTCCGTGGTGGTCATTATCCAAGAGCCATCAGGCCCCCCATCTCCCGTCGCAGGGGGGGGAAACAGTGGAAGGAGAAAGGGAAACTGCCTCTCACCCACCCGGGCTTGCTGCTTTTGAGCCCTGAAATCAGTCCCAAGGGAGAATTACAGTTATCCAGTGAGAAACCCTTCCCCGGTCACCTCAGAAGAGAAGTTAAGAGCTACACGGCAATAGAAGTACCTTCAGATTAATGCCCTGCGACCCGCCCCTGCTGCGGTGAGTCCTGCAGCTGCGCGTTCCTGGCCCCGATTCCCCACCGGCGGCTCCTCCGCAGCCTCGCGCCGAAGACTCTTCAAGCCGCTCCACCGATCTCAAAAGCTGCTTTACAGCAAAACTGTGATAATCTGTCACGGCAAGGCTGCGGTTTGCCAGGGATGACGGAGCCCGGGCAAAGGGACAATCTCAGCAGCTTGAGGAGAAGGGGGAAGGTGAGACGTGGCTGTGGCTCTCCCTGCGAGAACAGCGGCTGGTAACGGCCTGGAGACAAAACACTGAACTTTCGGGTCTTTTCAAAGTATTGTGGCCTTTAAAGTGTTTCTGAGCCTGCACAGAGCAACAGTTCTTTGAAAAAATCCGCTGTCCAGGGAAACTCCTCCAGCGCATTCTGCCAGGAATTACAGCATCTCTGAGACCCCAAACCAGTAACTTAGGTATGGTCACTCAGTACCGGACACTTTAAAGGTGCTGGCAGGCGTTGTGCTTACCGGCCCACTGAATGCCACCTTAGTCCATCCGTCATTAACCCACTGTCAGTTCTAGGTACCTCTGTCTTAAACCTTCTTAGCGTGAGCTTGCTGAAATTTTTTCCACAAATCCACGATGAACAAAGATTTCGGCTCCATCCTGGGTGGAAGTTGTTGGCAAAACATACTGGGGCATTTGTCTCCTTCCTCTGCTGAGGAACACGCTGCTTCCCCGGGGCAGCAGAGTCCCAGCCACTTGTCTTCGCTGTTGCTGAAGCTCAGCGTTGTCACCAGTGACCATAACACTCTTTTGTCACCCAAGATGTGACCCAGTGCTGCAGTGCGGTGCCGATAACTTCTCCAGGACCCGCTCACCGCCCAGAGGAACAGCCCCCGGTACCTGCTGCAGCACTGCAACATCAGAGACACGTGTCCGCAATAAGAATTCAAATATCATCTTTTCTGGTTTGCTTTATTTCCCCGCCCTCCCCTTTACCATTTGATGTTGTTATTAGAACACCAGAAGGATTCGCTCATTATAAATGCAGGGCCTTGGAGACTGTTATGAATTTCAAACATCTAAAACAAAGTGAATGAGTCCTTCAGAGCTTGTCTCCAAACCAGCACAAAGCCATCAATAATTAAACCGCATTGTGACCTAAATAAATCATAAGATCACGGTTCATTTAAATACAACTTGTCACATATCAAACTTGTCTGATACTCTACGGGGTCTGAGCACTCAGCCAGATGGAAGCAGTCTTTCAGGTGTAATTAAATCTATCTGTGCCTCGTTAAACAAGAAACATCCTCGAGCAACCGGCACATCACCATCACTCGGACCAGCGTGGTTCACATCGTCACGAGGCAGCTGGTAAAACCTGGGGTGGTTTGGCCAGGAGATGAAAAACAAACAACTTCCAGTGAACCTTTTCTGCTTATTAGGAGATGGTCACCCCTCGTGTGTGTTTGGTGCTTTGGTAATAAAAATAATTACCATGATCTCTTTTACTAGAGCTTGTCTCAGGCACAGCCAAACGGACAAGTCTACTTGAGGGTTACACCCTGGAGTACCTTTCTTTCAGCAGTCATAGCCAGAACAGTGAAGAGCACTTTTGCCGAGACAAGACAAGCATCAAATGCTTTTTGTATCAAAATTGGAAAATGTATGTAGCAATGACTCAAAAGGAGTGAGGCCAGAGAGAGAGGAGGAGGAGGAGGGAGGCAGAGCCAGCCCAGGGCGAGGGCTGCCCCAGGGTCCTGCCGCGTGTGCACGGACAGGTAGGCAGCGTGCAAGGCAGCACCCGTGGGAAAACAGAGCGTTTGCACAGCCTGGCATCGTTTGGGATTCAGAAACATTTTAGGTCTCTCTTCTCCCCAGTGTCCTTCACTCAGCCCTGTGCATGGGGACAGTCAAACACGATACAGAGCAGCAACAAAAATAAGGCAGGTTCCTGAAATCAACAGAAGAGGCTGTTCTTAGAGCTATTTGCCATCGAGAGAGAGCACAAAATAGCAGAAAATTGGGAGGCTGCCTGTTCTCATGAAATTTTCAGCTCAAGAGGTTCAGAGCGTGTGGATAACTACAGGAGCGTTTGGGGTCCTGAACAAAACACAAATCAAGGCTTTGAGAAGCAGCTGCCCGAAGCGTTATCCAAAGCCATTCCTTATCGAAACGTGTTTGTCCTCAAGTTCCCGACACTCGCGGGGACCCAGCGGGGTTGGGGGAGGCAACCACCAGTCCCCATGTCCACCAGGACTCTGCCGACGTGCGGTCACCCTACGCGGGGATCAGCCCTGGAGACATCGTCCACCTGAGAGACTGAGGAAGAATTCCTCATTTATCGCAGGAGCTCAGTTTCAAAGAATTGAAAAGGAACTTTCATGGATTAAAAAGAAGAGGGAAGGAACATGGAGCATTATCGATATTGCAGCTGGAAGGTGGCGATGGCTGTTCCCAGGCTGGAGGAGCGGGGAAGGAGGTGGCGCGTCAGAGCCTTCCAGGAGAAGCCAAGGGCTCATAATTTTGCATCTCGATAGAAGTCTCACAATTCTTATTACCTCTAAAAACCGCCCCCCCTTGCGGTCACCGATGGCACAAGGTGGTGGCATCTCCACGGCATGGGCAGGCAGCGGCTTGTTGGTAGCCCTGGGTGTAGGACCAGCAACGGCAGCAGCCGGGGCCAGTTGCTCTCCCCATTAGCGTGTTTCCCAGCAAAAAGCCAAAGGCCCTTGTAGGATCCTCTGCTGGGGTGGGGGAAATCTGCTAGCAAGGCACCACTGCAAAACCTCTGCTGAAAGATCCCCAGTCTTTAAAGGCAAGAGAGAAAGAGACACAGAAGTGAATAATTAAAAAAAAAAAAAAAATAAAAATAAAAATCACATTGCATGCACTCTGGTATAGTTTTGGTTGAGCATACCTCAAATGGGGTTAAATCCTCAGCACCTAGATATTAATTCTCCAAGGCAGAATACTTTTCTTTCCCTAGCAGAATAACCTGTATAGACTGAAACAGTAACTGAATTTTTTTTTTTTAAATCCTCATATTTTCCAGGGTAAACCCAACGTTTTCTTCCATATTCTTACAGTCTATCTATGGAATTGCTGAAAATTGGAAATTAGTAGGAATACAATCAGGACCTGTCAAGGTATTTATGCACCTAACGCCTCTTTAATTAACTGGATTTAAGCACAGAGAGGTCTCACTTCACACCTGTGTTGAGTTATTTATTAGCAAAGCTAAAAAAAAAAAAAAAAAAATCCTGTTATTCTTGTGCCTTCTCCTACCTGTGGTTCCAGCACTCTGTGTACAGAGATTTCAGGTATGTGTTATATTTAGGTAAGCTTCTAAATATAAGTTACTGCTCTTGCCAGAACTGAGGCAATGTTTGAAAATTTAACCAGAAGCATTTCTTTGCATAAATTTCCACTCTAACTTTAATGAAGTCCTGTGCATTGTCTACTTTCTGTGGATGCTTTAGTCAGTGAGTTTCCTCCTGGATGTTTGAAGAAGCAAAGCCCTGTGGCATATTTTTAGGAATACGTTTCAGAGCACATACCAAAACAGAAGGGTCTTTATAACAAAACTTCACTGTACGCCCCATAACGCGACTATTAATTGGAATCCTAGCACAAGCCAACCTGCGCCACAAAATAATTCAGTGAATTGTCTGATCAAAGGCACAGTCAGAGGAAATCCCCGCGAGCAGAAGATACGGGACCTGATGCGACGCCTCCGCGGGATGCGGATGAAGTTGCCAAGACACTACCCATCGTATCCGCGAAGTCCTGGCAGTCCGGCCAAGTTCCCGCTGACTGGAAAAGGGGAAACAAATCATCCATTTTTAAAAAGGGAAAAAAGGGAGAGCTGGGCAGCTACAGAGCGGTCTCACCTCTGTGCCTGGCAAGACCATAGAGCAGATCCTCCTAGAAGCTGTGCTAGGGTGCATGGAAAATAGCCCAGAGTCGGACGAGATCCTGTCACGGGGCTGTGTGAGGACAGGAGGGGTGGGACTGAAAAAGAAACGAAACTGTAGACTAAAATCAGGACTCCTGTTGTCCGGTGCTGCGCTCTGAGCGTGGCTCACGCAGCTGACTTCGCTCACGGACTCGCGGTGAAAAGCCTCCCTACATCCCCCACTTTCATGATTTTTGCTGTTAATATTATCTGAGGCTATACGTTGACTTTCAAACGTTTCAGGCACAAATAATAGAAAATTTCCAATTAAAAAGGATAATCTGTCAGAAGCAGAACAGTAAGTACAGTGAATAATTTAAAAGCTTTGGGGATATAAAGATTTATTCTATTTCCCAACAAGCCAGAAGCTTTGATTAATGGTTAAAAATAGAAAATAGGGATGGAATTAAGTTGTAAAAGATCCCCTCAAATAATAGTTTTTATACTTTTAATGTCGTTTGGAATGCTTTCATTGTATGAAATTACCTGCCTCGTTTTTCCTACTAAAATATATTGATTGTAATTCATTTTTTTGAATAAACTAATTTGGAATTAATTTCCAAATTCAGGGGGAAAAAAATTGCAAAACCAGCAGGGTTCTGTAAGACTAAATACCACATTTTAAAATCTTAAAAATTAGAAATTAGAAGTTTTCTAGTCATAAAAATCTCTTCTTGCAGATTTGGCCTTAAAAAATTGCCCACGACAGCACTGAATTCCGCGCTGAACAAAGGCACGTCAGCACGGAGGGCACCGTGTGGACGCTCGCAGAGGCCAAAATCGGCAAAACCAGAATCACAGCCTTAACTTTAATCTATTATGTGACCAACGACATCTACAGAAATGGTTAGTCCCTTCGTTAGAGCTTTCATGCTGGGGTCTACTCATTTGCTCACCAATTCTGTGGTATTTTTTTCAAAACAAAGATCAGCCAGAGCAATTCCTTGTGTTTTACAGAATCATCCAGGCTGGGAAAGACCTTGAAGATCATCAAGCCCAACCTAACCTAACAGTGACCACTCTCAACTCCGCCACAGATCAGCTGTCCATGGAACCACACCCTTTTCTCCTCAGCAATGCTGTTTATATCCAATAGCATTGCTCAGTAACACCTTTTGCCAAATATGAATGCTTTGCAAAATGTAATTCATTTCCCAGTGCCACCTCTGCCTCAGGACTGTTGGATCCTGTACGAGCAGAGCTGCTTGGCAGCGTGAAGCAGCACAGGGTACGTAAGCAGCGCAGCTGAGGGCGTAGGAGCAGCGGAGCAGTGCCAGTGCAGCTCACACTTGTGTCGGGGTACGTGTGGCACGCCCTGGGCTGGGGCACGTCTCATACCTAAGCTGTCACAGCTCATCAGCACAGCGGTACTCGGATCGTGTTCTTGCGGAAAGTCCTTCCCGAGCAGGTCAGGACATACATCAGCTCAGTGGTGCTGAATAAAATATAAGTTTTTCTCACCTTGGACATGTTTCTCACTTCTAATACATCCTTAAAGGTGCTATGACAGAAAATATAAAAATCCTTTTTGTTTAGAAGTAATTTTATATTTGTTGCTGTTTGCGTTACTTGGTTAGGAAGTAGATCTGAGGGTACTTGGGAAAAAAAAAAAAAAAAACAAAACAAAAACTCGACAAGTAACCCCAGTTTTTATTAGAAAGTTAAAAAATGGCTAAGCTGCAAAATCCCAGCAAGTACTGCCTGAAGCCAGCAGGAAAATTAAATATGGAAAAAATAAAAATAAAAATGGAGCCAAGAGACCAACAGACATTTGTGAAAAATGATGCTTGAGAGCATGGTGGGAGGAAGCATCCCTCCTCCTCCTCCCAGCCCGGACATTGCACCGGC